GACTAAATCGCGGAAGCTGAATGCACATGGACGATCAATGGTCATTGCTGACCATTGTCCGCACATGCGCAAAATCTCGAGCTCAACGTTCGTTTCGCCCATTTCGCGACCGCGACCGCGAAATTCGAAAAATCGAATGCAAGGCCAGGAAACGAGTGATCACCGTTTGACGATCACTCGTCTCAGCCTCGCTCTCCATCTTTCAAATTTGATTTCCTGAAACAGGTTGTCACGCGAAAACGCGCCTACCCGACCAGAGACTGTGACAACCTGCCCGGCCCTACCTACTTATAATTAACATTCGCACCAGAAAGTATGCTACCTATCCTACCTAGCGCTATATTTAAAAAATGGCAAAACAGGCACACCAACACATTCACTCCACGGTTCTCACACATTACACCCGGGTGCAAAAAGCCTACACTAGGGAGAACGTCCCGGGACGCCTCCGTCACCCGAGTTTGATACCACTTTCACACTCTAACTTTACGTACCATTTTCCTGAAATCGACTGACGATGGCTAGTGATCATTGCGTGAATCGCGATAAAAATATATTTTAATTATAACTATATATTTATGATTGAAAGAATATTGTATAACTTTTAATGAAATGATATTATCGGAGTAAATGATATTTAATGAAATTTATAATTAGCAATATTTCATAGAAGATGTAAGGTGATTAAGAATAATGATAATAGTGAATAAATAATCGTAAACGACGCAATTCCACAGCCTAATCGCACGCATACATAATGTGGAAAATACGTCGTGCACGATCACTAACTCATCGTCAGTCGCTTTTTGTATAAACTTATGAACTATAGTCATCGTACCCATTGCCTCTCTCTCATCCAAGTAGCACCTGGGCACGTGAGCGAGATCGAGGCAATGGACACGGAAGAGGTTAAACCTGAAAATCCTGAGCTAAAAAGATTAGATTATAAATACTTTATATATTTAACGGGCTAATAAATATTGAAATATTTATTGAGTAAAAAAAAAAAAAAAAAAAATTAAAAATAAATAAAGATTAAATGCAAAATAAAATAACTGACTCTAAGTTAAAAATTGATAGAAATAACCTCAGGCGATTACTTCATCAAAGCATATTTTCGAAAATAAGGAAACAATATTCAAATCTTGCTTTGATTCCGAAATCTACCTATCGCGAATTGTCTTCTTGCACATATAATTTAATTACATTTTTGTACACGGAGAAAATAAGCTAATTAATTAAAAATTATTTATTTAAGAAATATATGAAACAAAAAATGAAAGAAGATTTTTATTATTAATATTTATTTAAATTAAAAACGCGATGTGCAAGAAGACCTAGCCTGGCTAATAAATAAAATACAGAAAATGTTACTATTCACGGGTATAATAAATACCCGTGGTCACTATGCTCGTTGCAAAAATCTACGTATACAACCAATCACCCGTGTCGATTCGGACCTTTCGTCCTACGACATGATTGAGTGATCGGAGGAACGAAAATGCATGCGACTCACCATTAGATGTGAAGATTCTCATCATCGATGCCGCTGATGGTCCATGGAAGAATGTCATCGTGAAGGCCATCATCAAGTGGTAGGAGGAAGGATGTGGAAATGTCCTTGTCCTCTTCAGAGTAACACTGACTTTAATTTCGCGTTATCCATTGAAGGATTTAAAAAAACTTTTACGAAACAAACACTGACTCTAATTTCGCGTTATCCATTGAAGGATTTAAAAAAACTTTTACGAAACAAAGCACTGACTCTACTGACCGCATTGCGCGCGGTCACAAAAATTTGCTGAAAATAAAACTGTATTAATAGGAAGGGATGGGATAGAAAAAGAAGTAAAATATTCAAAATATATTTTGAATATTTTCTATCTTTTTCTTTTTCAAGTATTTATTTATGAAAATACTGCTATGAATAAAATATTCTTTAAAAAATAATTAAGAATTTTAGAAATTTAAGTTATTATTATGTTATATTAGAAAAATTACATATATAATTGTTTGTTATCAAAATCTGAATTATAGTTTTTAATAAGATATGTCGCGAATTACAAATATTCGAAATTTCTTGCAAAATAATCAAAATTTTATAATAATAAGAAAAATAACAAATAATATACATAAATTAGAAAAATCTGAAACATACAAAAAAAATTAGTGTAGTTCTCAGCTTAGCATCAGTTTTCAAAAACTAATTTTTCTAATATTTTAATAAAATCTTTTTTTAATGTAATGTTTATAATACAATCATTTAATTTTTAATGATTTAATGTGAAAACTGATGCCAATTACCGGGTCTCACCAACGAGGAGGTGACTACATCGAGACCCATATAACAAAGAGTAAATGTATAAATAAATGTATGAATAAATCAAGCAAGAATGCTTAAATTTTTAAATAAATAAACAAATAATTAAGTAATTATTTGTTTATTTATAATTAATATAAATATAATATAATAAATAATATAATATTAATAAATAATTAAATAATTATAATATAATAAATAATTAAATAATTATTGTAAATAAAGGATAGAATAAATTAAAAATTAATTTGATTAAAAAAAATTAAATTAAAAGTAAAAAGTTAAAGTAAATTAAAAATTAAAAGTTAAAGTAAAACTTTAAAGTAAAATTAAATTAAAAAATTTTAAAAATTAAATTGTAAAGTGAAAGTTATAAAGTGAAAAGATAAAAATAAAATTAAATTAAAAGTAAAAAATTAAAGTAAATTAAAAATTAAAAGTTAAAGTAATACTTTAAAGTAAAATTAAATTAAAAAATTTTAAAAATTAAGTTGTAAAGTGAAAATTATAAAGTGAAAAGATAGAAATAAAACTAAATTAAAAATAAAAAGTTAAAGTAAATTAAAAATTAAAAGTTAAAATAAAAATTAAAAATTAAAAGTTAAAGTAAATTAAAAAATAAATAAAATATAAATTAATAAATAATTTAATAAATAAATGTATAAATAAATGAAAGAATAAGCAAATATTAATTAAAAAACAAAATAAATAATTAATATGTAATATATTAATAAATATTATAATTTAAAAAAAGTAAAAAATTAAAAAATTTTTCGCGATCTTATATAAATTTAGCTAGAGCCTAAGAGTTCCGACCTATCTATTATGAAGGTTCGGTAAGAAATGACCTCCTTCGCGCGACTTGCCTCTGTCGCGGTGGAAGGGAGCGTCAGCCGTTACGAAGTCTATCGAAGATATACGAATTTTGTCGATCGTATCAAAATCGGTTTTTTTGAATATAATGGTTAATAGTTTATTAATTTTTAGTTTTTTATTATTAATTTATGGACTTTATAATTCATTACGATAATATATACAACAATTAACATATTTTTTCGAATTAAAATTTATCTATGTTGTTTTATAATATTATTTTTTGATTTATATTTGCATAAAAATATTTTAAATGATATTTTTATGTGAAAATTTTTAAATTTTTATTTTAATTTTATGCATATAACAATTTTTTTTACAATAATAAAAATTTAACATAGGATTAAATTTAAAATACATACAGAATTTTCGCGAATGGCATAAAAAATGATTTTTATATATATATAAATATATATATTATATATATTTATATTACATTTTGAAATTTTATTTAAATAAAATAATAATTTTAATAATTTTTATAAGAGTATTAAATATAATTAATATTATGAGTAATGAATAAAATCTACTCCATGTATTTTTATAATTTAAATCAAATTTTATAATTTATTTATTATATACATACATTTAAAAATTAATCAATCCTTTAAAAAAAATAACTTACTGTTCGTAGATAACTATAATAACTTTCCATCTGTCCATAATAGTAATGAATCATATCGATTTTCATGAGTAAAACGCACAAAAAACAATTATGCAAAATAAATATATTTTAAATATTTATAAATAAAATATGTATATTTTAAATATGAAATTTGCACATAATTTTATATTATGTACAAAATCAACCATGCGTCAATAATCGAAGCAGAATGCGGTCTTTTTTCACCTGATAACCGTAACTCGACAAGCAAGATCGAGTGTCGATAAAAATGTCTGTAAAATACAAATAAATATAATTAATTTCAAATATAATTTATAATATTTAAATTATTTTAAATATTTCTTATTACATTATAATATATACTTATTAAATTTATTGATTTTATATAAAATTTTTACTAACATCTTATTATTTATTAAATTTATTATTTTTAGAAATTAATAAATTTATTAATTTATCAAATTTAATTTATTAAAATATATTATTATAGAAATATCTTCCAATCATATTAAAAATTAATTTTTGGAATATAATAATTTAGCAATTTTTAGATTTTTATATTTAATTTTTGCACCTTTTATAATTTATTACTATATATATAATACATATAATAAAATTTGATATATTTTTGCAAATTAAATTCATTAAATTCTATGATATTAATGTCATCATAGCATTTATGACAACAGTTATAGTTATATTCAATTGTAAATGCTATTTTACGAAAACAATAGAATAAGCATAAGTTAAATTGATTGACAATAATAATCAATCGAATGTTATATGATATTAAATTATAATAATTTAAAAGTATTTAAAAAAAATTTTTAAAATAGAACGAATTATGTTAGTAAAAATCTCGCTAACAAGAGGTTCCGTGGTGTAGCGGTTATCACGTCTGCTTTACACGCAGAAGGTCGCCGGTTCGATCCCGGTCGGAACCACAATCCCTTCCTTCTTTTTTTTATATTTTTACTTTACTAAAAAACTAAAAAACACTTTATTTGAAATAATTAAATATGAAAAAGTAAACGAAAAAAAAAGATTAATTAATAATTAATATTACTAATTAAAAAATATAGTCACATAAAAATATACTTTACATTAATTCAATCTCAATAATTCTAAAATGTAAAAAAAAAAATATAAAAAATTTTATATATGCATAAATTTCCTATAAAAATAAATCTCAATTCCATATGACTATCTCATTCAAATCAATAATTTTTTTCTGTTCTTTATAATTATGTGGAATTTTACAATGTGTTGAACAAAATGAGAATAAATGTCCAGAATCGCGCGACAGGAACTCGAAATTGGTATTCGGTTCGTGCGGTCGCGTTTGTCTTGTCGCGTATTCGTGATGAACGGTGTTCCTTTCGTTTCTTTTCGTTCCTTCATTCACTGTTTCCGTTCTGGCCATCTGGCAACCCACCTGCACCGTGCTGCAGCCAACTGCTTCGTTTCTTTGGCTTCGTGTAACGAGAGCAAGTCCGGTTTTTAGTCGGGTATCGGCCATTCAGCGCTCCTTTTTTAGCCGGTATTTTATATCGTGACGACAAGATGGAGAGCATAGGGAATATCGATGTGTCTTTGAACAACCGCGTTCGTTCTTCCCTTTTTCATCATTTTCTTTTTTCATGTTTTCTCTTTGTCATGGAACCTATCGAATCTATTTTATCGGACAATTTTTAATATGAAATCGAAATTGCGATTTATTAAAGATTGTATTAAAGATTCAATTATGAATGCGAGTCACATTCTCATAAAACATGAATTAAACATATTTTTAATTTCATATAAACTTAATATCTATATTATACTTTACAAAATTTAATTATAATATAATTTAATAATTTAATAAATTCTTAATTAATATTAAGAATTTTTCTAAAAGATAAAATATATAAAGTATATATAGATGGCAAGTATATATATATGGCAAATTTATGTATTTCTTGAAATAAACTTACGTAAAACATAATTTTCCGAATGCATGTTTTCGAATTCATAAAAATTGAGACGTGGAGTTTACCATTTGTCTCTAAAACGGACGAATGCACGCTTTATAACTCGCTTAGTAATTACACGGTGGAGAAATTGGGTCGAGTATCACGAGAACATTTTGAGTTACCTTTAAACTCCACTGTCCTTGAACAATCCTTATCTTTCTACATACATTGATTCATGTGACTTTCCTCTTCTGCGCTTCTTATCTTTTTATACGAAAATCCGTGCACGATGAAACGTCGCATTGTCCATTATCTGTTCGAAGAAAGAAGTTCTGAACTAATCTATCTAAAAGAGATTATATTTTCAAATAAAAATTTTATTTCTTAGTTTGATCAAATCTGTTGCATTTTTTACTCCCACCTTTATCTTCGTCATCCAGAAAACGACGAAATGAATCCGTGATCGAGAAGGTCAGATACGATCGACGTGATTCGATCGGTGCCCAATAAAAAGGATTAGGTAACAACCTGGTCAAACGGTTCGAGTTTATCATGCATCCCTTCTCTCTGTAACTGCAGGTGGCCCATTCAGAATGCGAGATGATTGGCCAGAAGTAGTCGGTCATGAATAAGACGCAAGGACCCGTACCTCCCGCGTGGAATGATCAGTTTCAATGACAGGTCCGTCTGAGGCGATACATTAGGTTTCCATTTGGTTTTTTTCCATGTGCGTCCCGAGGGCATTACCTGTCAGGAACCAGCGTGAAATCTCGAGAAACCAGTCGCACGGTTGTTTAAAATTACTTTGATCCGTCTCCACCTGCACCTCCTTTTCATTCTTACCGCTGAACTTCACCTTACTTGACCTTAATCTATCTTTTACACTTAAGTGAACAATTAAATTATGTTTAAATAATGAATTTAAATGACAATTTAAACAATGATCAAGTGAAAATCACATACGTTATTTCCTTTTGTTTCTTCTTTGATGAGATTTTTCGCACTGTTCTTTGATACAATAGCGTTTATTCACGTTTTAGTCATATCATAAATTTAAAAGTTTGTGTCCATCATTAATATAGAGTGATGAAACGATACAGAAGTTTCTCCTAAATAAGAGAAAAAGTAAATGAGCTTAAAAAGTTCTTCGTAAAGGGGCAATAAATCCTCGTGGAAATTGATTAACACTAATGGTTATACAGCTTCCTTAGTCTCTGGAAAAAAAGAAACTTTCTCGTCGGTAATTAAAAGCAATATTTTTAATGAAGCCGCGAAGCAAACCGATCTTACAACTTTTCAATCAATAAAAAATATTTCAGATTCGCGTAGAACTACATTAATACCTAATTTTACAATCATTACAACAAAATCCAATTAATCCATTCTCGTTATTTTTTATCCTATACATTCCCTATATTTCATCCATCACGCTTTATTCCCTATTTTAAATCTCTTTAAGGAACGAGAAAGAAAGAAAAGAAAGGAAAGAAGGCGATGCGAATATAGAGAGGAAAGGCTTGGAAAGGAAAGTTGGCAAGTGTCAACGCGGTCACGGTGCAAAGGCAATGCACCGTGGCTGCAGCAGCAGCAGCGAATGAAGGAAAAATCGATGCATCGTCTACGATTGTGGCCGAGCAATGCCGAAGTCGGCTCAGCTGTGCCGAATCGGAGGAACCAGCGCGAAACTGCGCGATTGCTGCACCGGATCCCGTCACAGGAGAGAAGCTTTCCGGCGGGCTGAGATGCCGGAAGTAGCGTTCGACGATTCGATTGCGTCTCGACGAGTGAAAAGTTCGAAACGCCGGTCAATCGGGCCGAATATGCATATATGTTGGATAACTTTCTTCGCGATATCTGGGACATGATTCGAATTTTTTATTCACGAAGATAGAGATGTTCGTGAAATGAATTTTTTTTTTTTTTCGATTGTAAACTGCAATTCATATCTTGGAACATTTCCATGATAATATGAGAAATTGCTTTACATTGTTTTCTTGATTTTTTTCTTTGTCTTGGGAGAATGATGATTTTGTCTGTTATTTGAAGCTTATTATTACTGTTTTTTAAAATATACGAAGATTTAATTAATCTTTAGTATTGTGTTGTACTTTGAGAATGTTTAAGACTTTGTATCTAGATTCGTTAAAGAAGGAAAAGAATGAGAAGAAATAAGTGGTGTTCTCTGTTATTTGCATTGAAACGTATACATGCAAAGCTGGAGAACTTGAAAGAATGAAATAGCTCTTTTGCCTTTTGGTTATCGTATCATGTACTTGGACAGATAACGTTTAATTATGACGTAAAGATTTTCGTTTAAATAAGCTTGGATTAAATGGAAATACTTGGAATGGATTTTATCTTATAATCTTATAAAATTCTTATAAAATAATAGCATATTCTTTTATCTATATATCGTATATTGTCGATAATTTATATAATTTTTTAACTAATAATTACTTTAGTTTAATAAGCTTACCTCATAGTTTTTTTTGTTAATAATTATGATTAAACCATCTCTGTAGCTTCATGGTACATTGGTCTAGAAATAGAAAGGAATCAGGATAACCTTTAGCTGTGAATAGTGCAAGGGAAATAAAAGATTTTCAGGGGATGATTAAATGTTAAGGGTTATCTCATAATATTTCTGTTCGAGTTTATATTAGAAGATTCGTTTAATTACTATTAATAATATAAAGTAATGTGCATAAATATATTTTTTACTTATCTTTTTATTTTAATACTTTGATAGCGACTTTCAATTTTTAATAAAATTTATTCCTTCCTATTTGAAATAAAATAAAAGATTGATAGAAAATTATTTTTCAAAAATGAATTTTTGAATTATGTTACGAATTAACAGTATCTCATCAATAAAATTAATGAGGATTACGTAATGCTAGTTGAATTCATCCTCTTCTTTGTTCCGAGCTTTTTATGTCCATGTTACAGGATGCAATCCTATAACTTTGCAAGAAAGTACTAGATGTAAATTTATGATGAACACGTGTTTTACTGTTTTTTTCTATTTGCCTTTAAATCACCAAATATATGCACGTATCGAACAAGCTTTATGTCAATTATATCTAGAATCAAAAAATTTTAACGTTACGATACTGTAAGATATCTTATTATTGCATTTTTTTATGTAAAAATCTTCATCTTTACAATACATGTTTAAATAAGATTATATTATGAAATATCTATTTCATTTTACATAATTTAAATTGAAATCTAAATTGATAGATCGTTTAAAAATTCTCTCTAAAGGAAATTTTTACGTAGTCAAGCTATAAAAAATTTATCACGTCAAATATTCGGCTAAACTTCACTTATAATGGACTCTTTCATATTGTCGATTAAACTTTTACTTTATATTTTAATCGTTTATAAATCTTTTGCTTATCGAATCATTTTGTTCTAAAATAATCAATTTACATATTATTACATTTTATTTTACTTAAATTTTCTAATATTGTTAATATTGTCTTTAATATATTCATTATTTTATATATGTATAACCTCAAAATACAATACCAAATACAATTTTCAATTTTGAGAAAAAGAAAGTTTCTCGATAAATCATTATATACAATAAAAAATAGTCTTAATGGAATTAAAATACCTTTTACTGTAACATTATTTCAAGATTCGTTACGGGAAAAAAAGGACCATCGTAGATTAAAACTAATTCGATTGATTATTAGCGTTGTAACCCGTGGCGCTTCGTATCGGCTGTACCTTGAGCCGTGACTGCGAGGAAGGGGACGTGTGGGGAATTGGTGGGGGAAGCGAGGTGCCCGGCGAGCTGCCGGGAAGGAGTACCACCGCGTGTCTGCCATCTCTGTCTTTAGTTCAGTTCGAGTTCGGCGTGCAGCCGGTTCGTGTCTGTGTTTTGCGTGCAACTTCCGCCTGATCGACGTTCGTTATATATTCGCGGCTTACGTCGATACGTCGTCGACCTCTCACAGTCAGTGTTTTTGCGTCTTCCTGCATCCAGAACGCGGTTACCGGGTCAGATTTTGGAAACGTTAGTAATCAGCATCAATTCGTAGCGTCACGTACCATTCTCGCAAGTTTCTGAGTGTGGTCAGTGTGGTTTTTAGTCGAAAACGATTATTCGATTAGAATGAAATTTCATGGTGTAGATATCGATTGTACCGTATTGCGTAGTTATATATAATCGATATTAGATTGCGATTTCTTTAAAGGATGATTCATTGTGACGCGTAGGAATAAAAGAAAAAGTTTGTTTTGCTAGCAACGTTTCCATGCGAATGATTCGTTTTACATTAACCGATGCTTTTTCATATTTATTGAGATGAACATGAATATCGTTCTGTATCTAATTATCATATCGATAAATTTCGATAATCACATCGATTGCGATTCGTAGAAAGCAATAATCGATTGCAAATTATTATTATATTTCAAGCTACGCCATTCGGACTAGTTTTTTTTGTGGCTTGTTCAAGCTGTTACATTTTTGCGTTGTGTTGATAGTTTTGAGGATAAATGAAGTCGTGTTTACTTTAATATAGCTATGTACAATTTCAAATGAGTCATTGTGTTTGTTTATTAATAGTGTGCCGAAATTAATACGCAAATGAGTGGAACGGTCAAATTTTACTACGCTTTGTACTGGGATAGTGTTGTATGTGTATGGGTTTTACGTCGTTTCTATAATATTACATAAATTATACTCAAAACTGTCATGATATTGATAAAGTTTTCGATTGATTACGTAATTATGGAATAAGTGTCGAAGACAAGATTCCACGAGCGGGTACAGGTTTTTTCGAAAAATTGGAGCTAATTGCTGTCTTCATTATCACGATTTGCAATTTATTATTTAGGACGAACGATTAATCAGGGTACCTAGGTAACGCTGACATCATTGGCAGCTAATTAATCAGTGGCATACATTTATCTCGTGTAAGTACAAGTTATATTGGATGTTTGTGGAGATGTCTACCATCATAGGAATTTTCGTTATTTGACAGCATCGTTAATAAGATTTTTTTGCGAAACGATAGAAATTATTCGATAATAATGATCAATCAATTTTATATATAAAAATATTTATATATTGATCAGCGTTAATCGCTAAAGATTACACATGATAAATATATAAATAACTGCTTTATTGGAAAAATAGCTTGAATTTATATTTTCCGGTTTATTAACAATTTTTTTTTACAAATAAATAAAAGTATATAATACTCGAATACGATGAATCGATAATCGCTTTTATCGAAGTAGACAGAAAGTAGACAATGAATGTCATCGATGATTTATTTTATTTTTCTTATATTTTGTTTTCATTAAAAATTAATACGTTATTAATCCGTTTACTCAGTTCAATATATAAGAGTACGATCATAGGCCGTTCACCCGTATTGACGTGCGAAACCTATACATATTATGCATTAATACTCAGAAACTATAAAGGTTCTTTAGTAGTTGAAAAGTTTCCTTATCATTATGTACTCGAAGAAAAAGTTTCATGTATATATCGATAAGGAAAATGAAAAATATTATTTGAGTTCTTTTATTCGAATAAATGATAATTTATAATATATTTTGTCATTTTAATGAATTGAAATTATTGGTTAGATAGTTAGTTAAAAATTTTGGTGGTGGCGCTACGATTGGTGTTTCCGTTCGACTATCGATTTTTCCACGAATAGCAACGCTTCCCGCGCGAACCAATTAACCAATTAGACGGTTCGATTGATTGTTCCAGAATCCGGGAATATCGATTGATCGAGTGACGAGTCGGTCGCGATATACCGATATCGAAATAAGAAAATACATAGTGGACGATCATGGTGTGACTCGAGTGACTAAATTGATCTTTCGGAAAGATCGTTGAAGTTGACCGGTGGTTGTGTGGTGATTGGTTTTGGTGGTGGTGCTTGATACGCTCCTGGGAGTCGGAAGCCCGTTGGCACCTGGGCCTCGTTTACATCGGTTTACTCATGCTGGGAGTTTTGAAGCGGCGCTGGAAGCCATCAAAAAGGTGAGTAGTCCTCCATATTTTCTTTCTTTTTCCTTTGTTCACATTTTAAATTTATTCGCAATATTAAAATTGTAAATAATTTTCTCGCGAAAACTATAAAAAAAGATTAATTCGATAGTTGTAAAATATTCATTTGGCACGTTGAACTTCCATGTAAGGTTAGGATGACGCGGTAATTATGAAATGCAACAGGGTTATTGTATGATAATTGCGTTTTAAAATTCTTCCGAAAACGTTAGTCATAAGACCGTTATTCTTAAGACTTCCTATATTATTGGCGTTATTTTATATAGTTATCATTAATTCATCACATTAATTCTTACACCTTATTTCATTCAAACTACATAAATATCATATTAAAGGTAATACAAATACTAATAACATTACCAAACTCGGTATACACATACGTATACCACAAAACCGCGATAAATTCACGATACCGTCGATATTTCCCGCACGAAGAAATTTGTTAGGTTGTTATTTATAACTGTACTATAACTAGCCACAATAGAACAATGGAACAATAGAATAATGCGGTCGGTAACGAGGAGCAACGTTGTAAGAAGTAAAGTCGCTCGTCAATTTTACCTCCATTCGGTTTACCGAAAAGGCAGAAAAATAATCGAAACACGAGTCAAGATCAAAGAGTAATTCCAATGTTTCGTTATTTGTCGTATGCCTTTTCTCTTCCCCGAGAATTTTCCTGTGTTCGTGGAACGTCTTAAGAGTAACCAGAGGCTGTCTTTGTGACTCGTTTGCTCGAGAGGATCGGTCGTAGGCAAGGATAAATATACCTGTTTTTTGGTTTCATATTTGTCGGAAGATCGGTTTGAATCGTGTAAATGCATATCGTGTATAGGTTAGCCTTATAAAAGTGTGCGAAAAGCTTTGAAAAAGACGATCGTTTATTCGAGCAACGATTTCTACATACGATAGATATTATTTCTGAATGAAAAATTCGTTTGAATGGAATCGAAATGGTAAAGGGATTTTATCCTCCCCCGATATTTTTTCCCTATAACGAACAATATATATCCTTTTATTCGTTTCGCCAGGAATATAACGAGACTTGTACAGCCAGTTTCTATGATTCTATTTGCTGCCCGTTTTTTCGTTGCTATTAATTCAATTCGTTTAACATCATTACGTAGATGACTCGAATATAATCCTAGTTGAAAATGAATTGTATAATAAGTTAGAGTAGTTTCGCTCTTTGTTTTAAAATTAGAGAATTCTTCTTTTATTCTATTTATTTAGAATAACGCAATATTTGAGTTTCTATGTTTCGAATATAGGTTAATTAGTAGATTAATTTTAAAAGAGAAATTTCTTGTAAGCAAAAATAATTAAACGAATAATCACACACGCGAATGTTAGACTAATTGGCGAAAGGAATTAATAAAGTTTTCAGTTAAAATAATCGGTATTCGTCGGGATTTATTGTTCGTTGTAATTAATCTTCTCAAGCTTTGATCAAAGTTCATAAATTGAAGATGTAGCGCACATAGTCTATAAATTTTCACTATATAATAAAGTAGACACGGTATATCTATACATAAATTGAAAACGTTATGTAGGCCGATTCTCCTTTGTTTCCAGAATAGAACCAATTTATCGTTATCTAGGAAAGCAATAATTTACTCACTGTCATCCAGCAAACCAAATATAGAAAACATTCAAATTTAATTTCAAATCTTAGATCTAAAATTTAATTCTATGCCTTTAAATCATTTCGATTTATCAAATAAATTTTTTTCAAATAAATCTAACAATTATTTCAAAAAGACATCGAATAAATTTCTAGATCTACGAGTATATTCTCATCGGAATATCAAATTACACGTATTTATAACGTCTTTTTTAGAAAGAATGAACCCTCTTCGTCGATAAAATCGATATTTTCGCCTGTGCAAAGCGTATTCACGCGATTTTCATTGCGCTACGTCTTCTCTCGTTTCGCCGATTATTAAAACACACCTCGTTAGAAAGAACATTGGATTCGCCACGATTTCGTAAGCGCTGCACAAACGGCAAACGATGTCTATTATTATCGAGTACCGAACTGTAATCCAGATAAACACCGGTGTGCGTTGTTGCGCGGCTAAATTAGAATAATACAGGCAAACTCGAGCGCGGGATACGTGTAACATAATTGCATCGGCGTAAATAATGGCCACGACTCATGCCGGTGTACGTCGATGCTCGCGTACCAAGGTGATCCCATTTAACTCGGCTGCATAACTTTGCATACGGATATTTACCCGGGCTAATTTAAACGAATTATCATAACACCTGCCCGCGTCTTGCTCTCTCGATTAATTTTCATTAGACTGACCGACTGGGTCTGGAATGGTGGAACAGGTGATAGGCGCTAATGATCTTTCACGGTAACGGATTTTTATTTATTTTATTAGGGGGAGAATCGAGGAAGTCTGAATAAATTAAATAACTCTTTTCACTTTGTAATTATATTTTAACCGTGTTATTTTTTTAAGCAGAACTTTTCTTTTTGAACTTGTGACTTGTTCTCGTTATTAAGAGGGTATATTGGAATAATTAATTGTTCCCTTTTTTAGTTTAGTTTAGTGCAATGATAATTAAATTATAATAAGCGCGTAAGGTTTATTCAAGATTTTTAGCGTCAATAAAGAATTATTCTTTCTAATCCCATGATTTCTTAATATAATCAGTTTCTCGAG